CTCAGAATTCAGGGTGATCAAAAAGAAACATGAGCCATTCAGATCACTAAAATCTATTGGAGATTCTCATTTTGTGGAAAAGAATATTTCTCATCTATTGTGAGTGGATTAAAGATTGGGAAAGTGAATTGAAAACTTCCCACACCGCAATGCAGGATCTAATTTTACTTAATGACTATGAGATAATGAAGTGTCTAACATGATGTGGCATGTCACCCTTTCTCGTAGATTGGATCAAAGAGGAAAAACACTTCTAATCTTCCCTCTGTCCTCAACCATGGCACTGGAAAAATGTGTTTAGAGAGGGGCAGCTGCTGAGAATGAGTCAGCAGAGAAAAGGATTATGTGGCCACTTTTTAAAAAGTGTTTGTCATGGAACACCAGTCATTTATTAAATGTCTTATGTCCACAACAGAGAATGAGTCAATCACTGCCTGATTGTTTGGTTTCATGGTTAAGTCTGAAATCAGGGTTTTTCTGGGTTTTTTTTTCCCTTATACCTCTCAAATCTCTTGGTTGCCTTCTTTCAGAGTCTTTTTAATAGCTAGTTGTCATTTCCATCTACGTAGATCTTTAGATCTTGGGTCAGCCTGTGACTAGGACTGCCAAGAGGCAATTGATGCACATGCCTGAAAAAGAAGAGCAGGGTCATGCTGCGTGCATGGCCCTGTGGGTGCCTGCCTACCAGGGACCACTGCCGAGCGGCTCACGGGGACGTAAAACGGTTCCAATCTCCTCCTTCTTTCTTCCCCCGCCCTGGTTATCCTGATGCCCTTTCCATGCTATCCCTCATTCTTTGGATTTCATTTCCTGATTGATTTATTTTCCTAGTCTACCTCTTCTCCCTTCAAAACACTACCTAAAATGCACCTTGGAAAATAGACATTTCTGTATGCCTGTTTGCCCACACTCTCGGTTTTCTAGGGTTTTGCTGGCAGTGGTGGTCAGCTTGAACCATCTTTCAAGGTCTATCTAGCAGAGAGCTTACCCAGCTACCTCTGTCGCTTTTGATGTGGCAGGGTCCTGCAGTTGTAGCTGCTGTGCAACACCCTTCTCATCAAAACAATTTTAGGGAAAAGTGTGTCTTGTACAAATTTGACCTTTTTGCTGCTTGTTTCTGCTGAGGCTTTGCACAGAGGTAGAGCAGGGCACTAGAAACATTGGAGACAGGAGATCTTTCTGAGGCAGCCACTCCACTACAGAGAGGTTAAAACCCTCATCCTGAAACCTCTTGGACCTCAGTTTTCAGCCACCATTGGATCCATAACTTTAATTTTGACCAGGTTTAACCAACCTAAAATGTTCCTCTCAAGTGAATAAGAGACAAGACAAAGACGCATAGCATACCTTTTAGTCAGAGGTATCTTGACTCCTTCCACGCTGCCCATCAGAGTGTGTATATATTCCTTAGAATGGCCATTAATTTTTACGAAGAATATCCTCTGTGATTATTTCTATCATCGGTAACATTTTGTTGGCAGTCGTGATAAAATTTATATCAGCTACAATTTTTAAAAATATACGACTGAAAGCAGTTTTGCAGAAAATAAGAATTAGGAAGATGAGAGGGGTGAGAAGAAAAATGTTCCCATCCGGTAGAATTTGGGGGTGTTTTTTTCTGTTTTTTCACAGGAACGCAAATGCTGCTGGGAAGCAAGAAGCAGCAATGCACCACGGGCAGGAGCAGCGCGATGGCCTCTGGCTCTCTTCCAGATACAGCATCCAGAAAGGCAATCACTGCTGCTACTGATGGCTCATCGAAAAAGAGAGATCCCTCCAAAGGCACCTCCAAATCCAAAGAGATCCACACGCAGGGCATCCTGAAACCAAAAATGCCTGTCTCCCATAGTATGTGCAATATAAAAGCTTCATCAAGAATCCTCTCAGAAGAAAATGTTCACAGGGAAAACCAGCTCCTAAAAAGTAAGGTACAAATCCTACTGTGGTTGTTAGGAATATGGTTTCAATAATAAGATGAGATCAGTCTCAAAGAAAAAAGTGAAATAATGGAAATTCAGTCCATTTTTGTCCAGCTTTAAGTGCTGAGTATGAGTCATCTGGTGAGAGATCAATCAACTAATCTGACTGTATACATTGCTATGGTTAATAGAAAACAAGATTAAAATGAGAAAGATAGGCTTGTTTTGTAAGTAGATTCAAGAAAATCTTGAAAAAACATTAAAACTGCAGGGTCAAGCAGTCCCACTCCAACCAAGGAACACCAGAAGTGAGGTTATTTTTACAAGCTTGTTCTGACACCTTTCACTTCTGCAATATTTTTTTTTTTTTTTTTTGACACAACAGACTGAACTATGTGGTGCACTGGCATAGCATGAAATACCTTATTTGGAGAGATTATAACGAAGAAAAAAAAAAACCAAATCTTTAACGATTGACTATCAACAAGGTTTCAGCATGTAAAATGCAATTTTTTATAGATCAGCACTGGTTGGGATGTCTTATGTCCAGCATTTATTCACATAGCTAAAATGGAGATGACACAACCAGCTGTATTCATGCATAAGGTACTTTTGCAGAAGACAGCTCAGACAATATACTATAGATTAGTTTGGCTTCCGTGTCAATGGGTTTGTGAGAAATTTACTCCAAGAATACCTTAAAAATGTTATAATGGTCACATAACCTTTTTCCTTACCGTGTTTTTTCTTACAGATTTTTTTGTAGGCAGGTAGGCAAAACATTTTCATTATTGACTCTAAAGCCACAGAATATAACACCTGTTTAGATGGGAGAAGCCTACGTTCTGCTTTCAGTGCCTGAAGTTAAATCATGCCATTTCACTAACTGGAAGTGACTCAGTTTTGCAAGAGTGAAGCATCCACTGAGATCTGTCAAACACAAAGTTAATTGACACCTCTATAAACCTGGCTTATCGAGGAGTTTAATTTCATGTTCACAGGTTTCAAGCTTTTTTTCCAAAATGTTAACAAGAACAGTATTAGGGAGGAAATACAGTTCAGGCTTTTATAAGGCAAATGTACCCAACAGAGATCATTTTAATATTTTCTTAAAGTACAATATAATACGTACAATATGTCATAAAGAGGAAAATATTTTATTGTAACCAAAAATTGAAATAAAACAGTAATGGGCTTTATTCCCAGATATTTAGTTGTAGAAATCAAATTATTTGGCAAGGAAGAAGTACTCCAGTGTGACTTTTCAAAATAGTTCATATGGAGCTCTTCTGCAGTTCCTTTGTTATTTTGGATGAATTATGTCCTCTAAATGAGAATCTTGTCAACTCTGATTTTTGAGCAAGTAGCCTCTTTTGGTACTAATTTGTGCAGGGAGTATCAGTCATAGGGCATTAAAGCATAATTATAAGTGTAGAAAATTATCTTTTTTTCTCAATGGAAGACTTTGTGAATTGACAGCTTTCACAGTAATATCCTATAATACATATTAACTTTTTGGTTTCTTTTTTTTCATGGAGTCATTCAACTGGCTAAGGAATATCTAGAAATGATAGAAAGCAAACCGTATTATCAGCAAAGAAAAAAACAAGAGTAGTGTGTATGAAAGCCTTAGTATGGTCAAAGAGAAATTATATGTGATTAAGGTCCGTAGCAATATGTTATTTCCTACAATACATGCAATAAATTGAAATGAACTCAAACTGCAAACCGCAGCCTGATATCCTTTGCTTTCCATGATGCAACTGTGTTACAGTAGTGTCGTGCTTTTGGGAAGCGAATACCAGCAAATGGAGCTAAGCATCCGAGCGGTTTAATTATGCTTCGATGTGATGTCTGGCTTAATGTGAAAGATACTCGGGGTGTCACAGGGCAGTGAGTAGCACCTATGATTAGATTTGATCTATTCTGCTTAATGAGGCCCATTAATAATACCTTGGCATTCTTATTTCAGAAATTGCCCTCTATGTCTAATGAGGTGGAGAACCCAATAAAAAATTAACCATGCACTCTTAATGAACTTTTAAATCTCTCGAAGGTGATTATGAATTCTGTGGTTCAAGTGACAAAATAAAGGCGTGTGAGGAGGAGGACGAGTGGGAGCGAGCCAGCAGGGTAACACTATCCACGCCTCGCTCGCCAGATGTTACTCATGAGAAAAACGACATGCTCACCCGACCAGAAACCACCTCCGAGCCTGAGAAAACTCCACCAGCCCCACAGACGCTGCGGGTAAAACATCAATTTGTTGTTATTGTTGCTTTTAATATGGGGATTGCTTTTTTTGTTATTATTTTGTAAGTTTTTTTTCTTTTTTCCTTTTTTTTTTTTTCCCCATGGATGGTGTTTGCTTCCTGGGAAGTGGCTGAGGACAGAAGTTCGCATTCCCTTGAGTTTTCTCCTTTCCAGTGAAATTTTGGTAACTTGCATCAGCTGCCAAGACTTGCTTCGTTGTCTGGTTGTAAAAGGTCCCCGTTTTAAGCCCCAGCTGCCATTCCTGCAGAGGAACATGTTAAAAATTTGGGGACTTACAAATTTCCCGAAGGCACTTTGGAAATTGTACCTCGAAACTACCAATTTCCCAAATGTGCGTGACATCCAGTACCACAAGCGGCAGCCGTAGGTGCGGACACGACCCGAGGTTGATAGCAAGCCCCAGCAGCAGACGTGCTTTCCCGTCTTCTCCTCCGACACGTGGTGCAGACCAGTCTCCACTCCTGTCTTTTGTCCTGAGACATTCCTAGATGCTGAAGCAGCCTTCGACTGGAAAGTGTTTTCTTTCTAGATCATCCATGAATAAATCTGCATGACAGTCTAAATAAACAGGAAAGTTTGTGAACTGTTAGTGACAAGCTGCTTTGGTGATGGGGTGAGACAAGGAAATAGGCAAAACATCAAGAACTTGAATTTGGATAACTTCTAACAATGTGTAATTCAAAACCTTTTGGATATGTTTTCTGAGAGTTGGGTTTTTTCAGAAAATCTCCTTTGTCTGATCTGGAAATTTCACACCAAGGCAGCTTTCTAGCAGTAGAAGGAAGTAAAGGCAGATAGGAAGGCAGTTTGCTAACTTTTGTACAGATAAGCAATCATTTTCATTGATAACCTCTTACTGAACCCAGTTAGATGCACATCACATTTTTTTCTTCCTTTTAATTCTTTTAAAACAAAACGGTCACTCTGTTTCATTTAGGAAGCACTGGAAATCCATAAGCCTCAGTTCATCTCTCGTTCGCGAGAAAGGCTGAAGAAACTTGAACATAAGGTCCAGCTGAGGAAAGCCCAGCAGAGCGATGCTCCTGCAAGCAATCAAGGAACCCTTGTTCGCAAGCTTTCCTCAACATCCACTTCCAGCAAAAAAAAGCAGTACACCATTCCTCACCCTCTCAGTGGTAAGTTGAATTGTGACCAGCAACAGGTCTGTAGCTGTCTTTGAAACCTTGCCACGTGTATCGTATTTCCATATTAACTTTGGGAAAAAACATGAGACCCGCTGCCCCTCTTTCACCCCGCCAGAGCTCCAGCATCTGTCCTAATGCTCAAAGCAGAAAGCCTCCGAAGCGCAGAGATGGGTTGGCGGGGATGAGGGGTTTTCTGTGGTCTGTGGCAGCGGAAGGAGCCTTCCTTGGGGACTTCTTGTCATTGTCACCTGCAGTCGTGTTCTTCAGCACGATTCCACTTGCTGCGAGTTGTAGAAGTGGTAGCGGTAAATGACATTTCATACCTCTCAGAGGTCACAGAAGGACCAATTTGGAGAGAGAAGCGACAAGTAGGGGGACAGGTGGGATTTGGGAATAGGAATCCCAATCCGGTTTTCTCAGCAGCTTCAGGTGTGGACTTGCCACTTGACTCATGAAGCCCTCAGCAGTGAGGTAGCTGTGAAAGAATGCTGGTCTGCCCAGCAGCTGTATGCAAGGCTGCTAAATCAATGCATCTGAACGCTGTGATTTCTTAATTCAACTTGATTAGGTTGTTTCATTACCCTGGTGGTAAATAGATTCAATATCCAGTGGGTGAAATGGTTCTTCCTGAGAAGCTCCCTCACAGCTCCCTCCCAATAGCACCTCTGTAAATATTACCTACGTGCAAGGTGTTAAACTAATTACTTTTGTTTTGTTTTTAATTGCCATCTGGCTGTTACTTAATTCAGCTGACTAAAGAAAAAGATTTATTTGATTGACTGGCATTCCTCTTTACATTTTGGTTTTAAATCTGTGGCTGTTTGAAGCCACATTATTCTACTGAAAAGTAAATCGATTGAAAACATTAAACAACTAGATGGGTCACCAGGAGGAAGCAGGAAAGAAAATCTTTGATGTCCTCAACACTGGGAAACACGTAGAAGTGTTTTGTTGGCTAGGGAATGAGACTGGGTGCAGGAAAGCTGTGCGCAGTCCCCGTCTCGGGGCTTTTGGCATGATTTGCATTGGAGAGTACCAATTTCTATCGCTACATCTGTGCCCTTTGTTGTGGTATGACAGAGGCTACCCTACATCAGATATGTCATGGGTTTTTATAGTCAGAGCTAAATAAGCCTAAGTAAACAAAGCACAAAACAGGAATTATACTTGAAAGAGTCAATAAAATTCGTTCACCGCTTCAATTATCCAAGTTAATTTACTTGGGTTCAGATCTCTGAGGGCTGCACTGCCCCGTGGTGTTGGGGGCTCTGCGCCAGCACCAGCAGGCAGTGGCACAGGCCAGGAGTTTGTCATAGATCTTAGAAGAAGTGGCAAATATCTCCCTCTTTGTTTGGTCATCTTCGGAAGTCCCCCAAACTACTCTGCAAATACTTCACGAAACAAAATTATAATTAAAGATAAATTTTTATGCTTGTTTAATGAGTAATAAAAGCATAATATTGAAATATATTCATTAATTATTCAAGCAAATTACTATTTCCCTCTTTTAGTGGTTGGTCTTTAAAGATAAATTTGTCTAAAGAGAATCTTTAGTTTCCGTAACTCATCTGCCTTCATGTACCACATGCAATTTTCTGTTTGTGAGATCTTAATATTTTTATAATGGCAGACTTGTCACATGTCTGCTATTTAGGCGTAACTGTAATTAATATTGAAAATCCTAGATCCCTGACAAAGCACAGCTGTGCCGGCTGCAGTTCAGAGGGCTGTGTAGGACTGTAATGAGCATATTTAATTTGCTCTGAGTCCCAACAATTGGTATTTTAGGACTTCTCCTGGTGGATGCTATTGTGCAGAAGGATTAGTATCATTAACGAGTCCCAGAGTGGAGCATCTTTGTTTCCTACAGATGCTCCCAAGCTTTTCCAGTTGCAATCCCTCTTGCCAAAGAGAATAGGGCTTCCTCCTCCTGCTCACCAAGGGTGCTGGATACCTGTATCCTTCTGATGTCTCTGCTGATGGCATCCCCATCCCACCGGCGTCACAGTCTTCTCCTTCCTTTCTGCCAGCCCCCAAAGCTGGAAGGAAGAGAAGTTATCATTTGTTGTCATCGTTATTCTGTGTTCTCTGGAAAAGCCTTTTTAGCATGTAAAATGTGCTTCTAAAGCAACGAAGGACTTTGTGTCATGTTGTAGAAAACAAAAGGAAAATGAAAAGAAAATGTAGCTGTAGTCCAGGTAGGGATGCAAGCACAGTTTCATTTACTGAGACGGGAAGTGGACATCAAAATCCCAGTGATTTAAGGATGCCGTTTCACATTATGACCTGGTGCAAGGAAGGCTGCGGGCACAAGCAGCAGTGTCACCGCCTGCTCTGTCGCTACACGCGGCCCATCCGTGCCCCCATATTTCAGCTGGATCCGTAAGCTGATCTAGCAGGATCTGCTTTTTAATATTTTTATTTTTTTTTTAAATTAGGATTCACTCTTTGAGTTTTTATCAGATCAAACAACTGATCCGGCTCATCAAACAGTGTTGTGACCAGATGAGCTGGCAGAGGGGAGGCGAGAGGGAGGGTGGGAGATGGTGAGGGAGGAGAGCAGCACCGCTTCCCTTGGCACCAGCCTCCCATTTTTACGGGTGTAATGAGACTGTGCCCTTCCCAAAGAGAGTTCCTAGGCTGCTCATGTACCGCACCCATGCACAGATGACACCGAAATCTGCCTGCCGCCCAAAGCTGGCTGGACCAAGGAGACATGGCAGGGTTCATCCCTGACTATGTATTTCAAAGTCAGCTTTTCAAGTGGTAGAGAGCCTGGGATTTATGTGGGGCACAAAGTGCCCAGAAAAGGAAAAATAAGGTGTGTCTGTAGGTCCAAACAGAGAAAGTCCTGAATGCCACCTCCATCCCTGGCTTTACCTGACTGGGAATCGGTCATGGTGCAGGAGCAGCTGGCTGTGACCCCACAGCTGGGGACAGGGGCTGGGGGCTGAGGCTCAGTGTTGTGTTATCACAACCATTGCTTCCCAGGGTACGGTCCAGGGCTGCACTGGGCAGCAGTGGTGGGCACAGACCTGCCCTATGTTGCCACGTACATTCCTATGGTCATCTGGAAGCCTACGTCTGGTGCAGTCACTTATAAAGGCCAAACCAGATGTTAGACCTCAACCATCGTTAGAAGTCAAGGGAACTTTGCCAAGTCCCCATAGCCATTGGTATTTTATTTGGTACTGGTACTACTGGTTCTCCTGTTCTCCCTGCTAGTCTTGAAAAAATCCCCGTCAAATGCAGCCTGCGTGTAGGTTGCCTGATCTCGGGAAGCAGGCTGCTCTTTCACAGCAACACGTGTTGAAACAACATTTGAAATTAAGAACCCAGGAGGGTAAAATGATGACTGACTTAAATATACAACATTGTATTGATGGCATCTGTAGGCTTCAGGGTGTGATCCTGTGGTTGCTTTTTTTCAGTCTGATAGTTTCCTCCTCTCTCGTTTTTCTCTTTCCTGATGTCTTTGGGATTTGTGGAGGTAGAGGTCTTTACGGCTCTGAGGTTCATAGGGCTCATTGCCAGCACACCCTCATACATCTTCCAAAGGTCTTTTTTGTAAGAGCAGGTTGGCTGATGAGTTTAATTTGCACTGACCCCAACACGGTGACCCTAAGGATGGATTATAAGTGCATTTGTGGCTGGGTGGGAGTAGAGTCTCTGTGCAAGCCCGAGGTGCTTGCAGAGCAGGTCGCTGCAGCATACTTGCCGCAAGCACTGGCAGTAACATTAGTTATCCAATTAGTTTTCACAGAATCACAGAATCAGTTTGGTTGGAAGAGACCTCTGGGGTCATCGAGTCCAACCTTTGCCCTAACACCCCCATGTGAGCTAGACCATGGCACTAAGTGCCACGTCCAGTCTTTTCTTAAACACGCCCAGGGATGGTGACTCCACCACCTCCCTGGGTAGCCCATTCCAGTGCCTAGCGACCCTTTCTGTGAAGAAATGCCTCCTAAACAGAAATTTTCCACCGCCAGAGGACATTCCTTGGCCCAGTTCCCCCCATGCACATCCGTGCCTGCACAGGAAGGTGACATGGGAGGGGGAGAGGTGGGACTGTCCCCTTGCGTGGCAACCTGCTTTTATGCAGGCGTAAATGGGGGTGAAACTGCAGCCCGAGATGTTTCCCTCTGCACTTGACAAGTTTGCTGCTATTACGTCTCTCTGAAATACGCTTGTTACATGTGCTTCCCTCTGGACTCACAGCTTTTATTTCAATAAAATAATTTTCACCCAGAAAAAAGAGCAATGACCTTCAGAGATTTTTCTCCACCTGAGATTATTCTATAGGGCTAAAGTGTCTTTATTGATAACACGAAATTATCAGCTAGCATAGTTTTCCAATGTTTTCAACAGTTGTTAAAACTTTAATTTCTTGTAGGAGAAAGAAATAATTGCCATTCAACATCATTTGCATACAATACCAACATCTGTGCAGTTTCCATTTACGTTCTTATCCTCAAAAAACCAAAAAAACCCAATTAAACCATTTTTAGTTGTAATTCATGACACTCTGAAAGTAATCTTAGAAAACTGAAAATGTTTCTCCTGCAGAAGATTGTTATCGTCACAAGAGCACTTTGAAGGCAGAGAACCTGCAACTCTCACGCTAGCCTTTGTGCTGTGTAATGTGTACCGCTAAATTTCGAAAGTGCTAATTAGTCCAAGATAGACTACTCTGCTGTTGACTATGTCGAACAAATTAGAGATCCCACTGTGACGAACTGAACAGAAACAATGTTCAAATAACGGGATTTAAATCTCGAAAACCGTAATGTAATTACTTCAGTGACAGGACTACCAGCTGTTTATAGGCCTTTAAATCTGCATAATGAACAGCCTTGTGATCTTAGTGTACACAAGCACTTTCAGGGATTTAAAAAAATTTCTCAGGCACATATGGTTTTTTCATACCTTCCATTTTCTTTTCTTTTGAGAGGGCGGTGGTTCACTGGAAATGGCAATATAAGTTGAACATT